TCTCTCAACAGAAGCGGCTTGACAGAATTGTTGAGGAGCTAGAAAATGTGGCCCATATGGAATATACTCAAATGTAGATATCACTGAGCTCTTTTGAGATAAAATGGAGCATTAAATATTTAAAATAAATGCCATATAAGGAATATCCCTCATTTAAGGAATAAGAAGATGCATTTTCAGCACACTTGCTGTTATTTTTCTACTTAAGGTCTTTTACATGGCAGCCCCAGTGTGGCTTTCCATTTATGATTTCTTTTTACTCAAACCTGCATAGGGAAGTGGTGGTGCTTCGGGTTAAACCGCAGAAGCCTCTGTACTGCAAGGTCGGAAGACCAGCAGTCATAAGATCGAATCCACGTGACGGAGTGAGCCCCCGTTGCTTGTCCCAGCTCCTGCCAACCTAGCAGTTCGAAAGTATGCAAATGTGAGTAGATAAATAGGTACCACCACGGTGGGAAGGTAAAACGATGTTCCGTGTCTAGTCATGCTGGCCACATGACCACGGAAACTGTCTTCAGACAAACGATGGCTCTACGGCTCATAGACGGTGATGAGCACCACCCCCTATAATCAGACATGACTGGACTAAATGTCAAGGGGAACCTTTACCTATGATTGTGCTGACTGGGGATTCTGGGAATTGTAGCCCAGAAGAATAATGTTTCCAAGTTCTGGATCTGGAATGTGGGGATCCTTCAAGGATGCCAAAGGTTTTTCAGTCAGGACATTAATACAAAAAGGGAGATGAGACTATTAAAGGATTTTCAGTGAAGCAGCCAATATACTCCACTTTCCTTTTCCCTCTTCTAGTCTTAGCATAAGTATATTTTAGAATGTTTAAATTGGTAGGAGTAGGATTTGAATGCTAACCAGAGATGTATGTACACCAACAAAGAATTATGTTGGAAGACAAGTTTCCCTTCTTAATATTACATGACCTATAACCAATAACACCTTAAAATATGGGTGTGTTTTCCAGCTGCTTCCTAGTAGGGTTTTTGAGGAATGAGAGATGCTCAAGGATGTTTTGCTCCTCTGTGAGTTTTTATGGTTTGAGTGGAGATTTGAACCTCCTGAGTTCTACTGTGACACTCTATATACTACAGTGCACTCTAAATGGCTAGACCATTGCGTTATTATAGCTGTGCACAACAGGCCTTTTGAAATGATTTCATATGTGATTTTTGTTTTATTTGTATTGTTTGTTCCATCATACATACATACATACATAGATGCATACATACATACATACATACATACATACATACCCTATTTGTGGGTTCAAAAACTGCAGAGACCATTTCACTGGGTTTCTCAAGGGAATGGAGAAATCCAACAAGTTTTCAGAGGAGTGGCTCATCAATAGTAGCCTTTGCAGTACAGCTTTGATCGTTTTCACAACCAATTTCTGTTTTCTACTTGTTAAGCTTGACACATTATGTATTTGGGGTGGGGGATCAATCTAATGATTGCTTCCATCCAACACAGCAGTTATTTGGTGACTTCTGGTTCATCTTCTCAACACTTAGGTGTCCCTTAGAGAAAGATATTTGCAATCCTTCATACGACTAAAACTGCCATGTCTGAATCAAGCTGTTTTCTCTATTCTGAGATAGCAATTGCCATGAAAATACTCCCTGTGAAATTCTGATTCATTCCACACAGATAGAAATTTACTTCATCCCAAGCAAATAGTGGTTTCTTCTGAACATTGTCTACCCAGAGTGGCCTTTCAGTCCTTCTCTCTCTCTCTCTTCTTCTTCTTTCACATCCTAGTCAACTGCTTTCTCCTTCTTCTGGGACATATTCTATAGTTAGTGGGTTTCTTTTCACCTTCTATTGTCTTCCCAATAAATTGCCCAGTTATGTGTTATCAACTGCTGGTTCTCAAACAAAATGGCATCAAAGGATGATCTATTCACTGCCAATGTAAGTTTCCATTTTTATCAGACCACACTCCCAAGAATCATTGTTTGAACATTCAACTTGTCTCCACCAACCTGGTTCATTTTGGACCTTTCCAGTTTTTTTCCCAGTTTATTTACATGTTCCTCTAACTGTTGGATGGCTGTCAGAATGTTCTTTTGGACAGAGCTTTCTTTGCACTGATAAAATAAATCTCTGTCCTGTAAAGAATGCAACTATACTTGAATCATGGATTCACACTCACAGAGACTCTAGACCAGTGGTTCCCAACCTTGAATCCTGGATATTCTTGGACTAAAACTCCCAGAAATCTTCACTACTAGCTGTGCTAATAGTGATTTCTGGGAGTTGCAGTCCAAGAACATCTGAGGATTTAAGACTAACAACCACTGCTCTAGACTGTCCATCAATTCAGTCTCTCTAGTTCACTCCATAACTTTATCCAGGGTTTTCAGTATCCAAAACTGGTCAGTTTTATTTGTGGATAACTCCTCAAACATCTACACTAGGACTGATTATACACCAATATGTCTTTTATTGCAAAGTCATTGTGGACACAAGCTCCATCCAAGATATCACAGGCATAGTCCTCTTACCTCTGCTTTAAAAGTATAGTGAGCTAGCTGTTCAATTGAAGCTATTGGCTCAAATATTTTTTTCAAAGCAATCAGCAATGATTTGTAATCAAGATGAATCCTAGAACTGAGTCCCTGGGAAGTGTCACTAGCTTTCCCTTTTAACAAGAACCCTAAAAATGTAGACTTTAGGGAGTCCATTAAAGTGTGAAACACCGTTAAATTAATCACCCCCTTGTCAGAAGAGGAGGTTTCCACAGAAGATGTTTACTGTGACATTACCTTGTTTCATTCTAATAATTTTTTGGAATAGAGATGTCCAGACAACCTCATCCATTTTTTTCCTAATAAAACAATACATTAAAGAAAGAAAGACACTCATTTTCATAATATCTTCCAGTTGTACTGTGATGAACTGTTTGAATGGAAATACCCCCACTTTCTTTCTTATCATAGTATGGTGATGCAAAGGGCACAGACTGCATAATCCTGAAGTATCACTTCTTCCATGTTCCCCACGTGGTTGTTTGGAAATCATTTTCAGAAGCATGATACCCTAGTCCCAGTTCATGCCACCAAATTGTAACAGACTCCTCAAGATGGAGCTTGGCAGAGAAAGGCACACAGAAGAAGATAAATGAATGAACTGAGGTTTGCTGTTAAAAGGTTGCATAGAAGAAACCAATCAACAACTTGAAGATAATTGGGCTTATCAATAACCTATAAGAAATTGCATTAATGCCCCCCCATACTCATGGGCTACCCACTGGCCTTAGTTCTTTTCCTTTGGTTGAACATCAGACTTTTGGATAGGAGTGACGACACTGGCACCATTATTGACTTCTTCCAAAAATGTGTTTTTATGGCATAAAAGAAGCAGGGTAGCACATGAGTTGTTGGGGCTCAGCGGAGAAAGTAGAATGTGATTTTTACAGTGAGGTGCAGGTCATAGAGATAGCAAAGGTGGGATATCACTAAAATGGAAAATTCAGAGAAACACCAGGATAAAGACATGTAAATAAACACACACAGAGAGCCAGGGTGGAGCTGTTAGAGAGCTACAACCTAAATATGGAAGGCAGGAGTAACCTTACACCCAATTCCTTAAATCCCAAGCCATACCTAATTTCTTTAGCATCACGCTCAAGTATCATGCTCACTGAAAATAAGCAACGCTTCCCTTTCAAAGGGGCAATTTCAATTAAAATCTAATTAAACAGCCATATTTCAAGAAGGAACGAGTGAACTGGTTAATTGCAACAAGGGTTAATCAATTAGAGCCCAGCCCCTGCATGTAAAGGCGGGCAAGCAGCCTCTTGAATCACAACGCTTTATTTGTAGTTTGAAATTATTTAACGAAGTTAATTCATGCTCGCTTCAGAGGCGGCCTATGAATTTCTGAATGATTTTTACTTGTCTGGCAAGTGCGGAAACCGAGCGGGGCTCTCCGCGCCCCCTCCCCCCGCTCCGTGTTAAAAAGCAACAGCCCCAAAACATTAAAACGTGTGATTCTTTTTTTTCCAAGTAGACAAACTGTGTTGGGTAGAAAAGAGAGAAATCACAAAGTGGGGAGACGGGCGGAAAGAGAATTAAGAGTAGTAGGGAGCTGGGATGATCATTGTCTTCTCTCCGGCTATTATTTAATGTGAAAGCAAAATAGTCAGGCTGAAAATCAGCGAACAGAAGGGGATTAGAGAGAGCCGGTCTCGGAGTGGCTTGCTTTCTCGCAGCGCTGTCTCTTCAGACACTGACGAGAGACAGGCAGCGAAGGCAGCCGCGGCGGCAGCAGCAGCTCTCCAGATGGCCGGGGAAAGTGTTTTATCTTGGGTTACTGCAGGGCAGTCGGGACTCTTAAAGCACGGCAGCCTTGGGAAAGGGCTTCATTAGGGGGAGAGCAAGTTCCAGGTCCGCTAAGTTAAAAAAAAAAAAGAGAGGGGGGGCAGGCTACCCAAGAGGGACTAGGCTGGACTATTGTTAGCATATACTTGACCGATCCCACCCCCTCCGTCCGTCCCGCTCGCCCTCCCTCCTTCCCTCCCTTCCCCAAACAATCCCCGCTTTGCTTCTCCTCATGACACAGATGTCTCCTACCTCGATCACCTCCTACGGCTTTAAGCCCTCCCCCCTGCACCTGGGTAGCTGAGCCGGGCCAGCTGCTTGCAGTATGCTGTTTGACTTTCGAGGTGGCTGCTAGCAGAGGAAAGGGGGGGGGGAAGGAGGGCACTGAAGGGGGGGAGAGAGATACACACGGAGAGGCGCTCTCTCTGTCGCAAACACACACACACAGGCGCGCGCGCGCGCACACACACACACGCACACGGGGAGCCCAGCCAGCCAGCCAGGCGCCGAGCGGGCAAACAAACAAACAAACAAACAAACGGCGTCGTCCTTCTGCGCGGAGCGGATCGGCCCCAGACGGTGCATGGAGCGGCTTCTCCCCGGCGGGCAGGCACAAGGGGGAAGCCTGCAAATCTATGCCTCGCCGCCTTAGAGAGCCAGCCAGCGAGCGAGCAGGCGCGCCGCGACTGACAGCCGTACTAGCGACGGCTCGGACTTCAGCGCGCATTTCGTCGGCAACCACCGCAGCAGCAGCAACAGCAGCCGCCCCGGGAGCCGCCCGCGCGGCCGAGGAAGACCTGGCCATTCGCACCCCGTTTGGGGCTACTGGGAGGACTTTTTCTCGCCCTTCCTCTGACGATTAGTATGATCCCGAGGTGCGATTTCTGGGTCTTTGGGCAGCGCCGCCGCCACTAAAGTTACCCTCGCGGGAATCGAGCTGCCGTCTCTGCCAAACGCGCCAGAAGGACCAGAACAGCGGGAGGTTTTTTTTATTTTTATTTTTTGCCCTGGTGGGTGGTTTGCACCCCCGCCGGCCCCTCTGCGCCCCCCACCCACCGCGATACCCGACGCGCCACCGCCCCGCTTTCTTTCTCGACCGTCGGGACTGGGCGTGCATGTCGGTGTGCCAACGCGGGCCATCCGGCTTGGGGAGGCCAGAAGGGCAGCGGCGCGACCCGACGTCCCCCAACCCCGGTCGCCTCGGCCCGCCCGCCAACAACAAACCCCCAGCCAGCCTGGGCTGTCGGATCTCCGCCAAGGAGGACGGGAACTTTTTATTTGCAGCTCTCAGCCGCCGGCGGATGGTGGGGATCTCCGCTCCTTTCCAGTGTAAGTACTGCCCTCCCTTGCCCCCGAAAAGCAAGGCGTGGGGGAGAGAAGCAGAAAGCCCGACGGCCGGGTTGCGCTTCTTTTCCTGGGATGGGGGGGGGAGTGAAGGCGGTGGTTCCTCTTTGCTGTGGGGTTGAGTTAAAAGGGCTCTTGGCGGCGGCTGCAGTTCAACTGCCCTGAATTGGATTCCTCGCCTGCGGCACTCGACGGCGCCAAAGGCTGGCTTGCGCGGGGACGAGAAGCCGCTCGCCTCTCTCCCGCCCCGGTTTGCGCCCCTGGGCCAGAGGGCCGAGCTCCGGAGAGGCCAAAAAGTTTGAGGAGGGAAGCTCCTCCTGCTGACCAGCGCCGAGCTGGAGCGCTGCCTTCGCGGTGGGGGCGCCCGATCCTCCTGCTTGCACCCGAGGCTGACATCCCAAGCTGGGCTGAGATCTTGGGAATTCCGGCAATCCGTCGCTTCCCACCCTTCTCCTCGCCTGATAGGTGTACAAGGGTGCATCCGAGCACGTGCAGAATGATTTCGGTTCATCCCTAAATCTGATCACAGTTGCGTGGCTGGAAGAGGGTGGGCAGAATTTCTGAGTCAGAAAACAGGTCTCGCTTCTGGTCTTGCTCTTTTTTTTCCCCACGGTTGTTCCTATGTGTGTTGTCTGTATGAAAAACAACAGTTTCAAAACTGTAAATTGTATCATGTATACGCGTATGTGTGGGTACATATATACACGCACGCACGCACTGACGTTTTGAAGTGGAGATTTGCAGTACAGACAACACCAAGATCAAAACGGTCACGTATTTTTTCCTGTCAACTCTTGTGTCTTCCTCTTCTGACATGGAGTTCAGGAAAGCCCACTAAAAATACTACAGTAAGCATCGCTTCGGGTTGTCTTGCAAAAATACTGTACCTTTCCCGTAAGGAGGCCACCCCACTGAATTGCAAAATAATGTCGAGCAGTTCAAAACGAGAAGTGTAAGGTTTTTTAAACCACATAAAACAAATGAAGACTTGTGTCCACCCTATGCATAACAGAGGCACAAGGAGAGCACATCTGTATATATAAACTTATCAAAAGTTCCGTGCTTTAATCGAGATTGCTCTTGGCAAGACTGAGTTCTCTGAACGGAGTTTGGATTGGGAAAGAGTTTTGTAAACTTGCAGCAGGCTCTTAAGCATGTTTATTTCAGAAGTAACACTCTGTTGCATCTCATGGAACTTTCTCCCAGGTAAGACACTGTATTTAGGACAGAATTGCATCCTTAGCTTCATTCAGTGATGTGACTCTTTGGAAGTCATTACAATACACAAGCTAGGAAATATGTAAAGTGACTTACTGTTTTGCCCGGCCTGAAGGCTATTTGACTTCAGTGTCATTTCAGTACTGAGAGTAGTGGTCAGTGCATTTTCTTTACCAAATCATTTTGGAATGAGATGACCAGAAGCTTCAAAGCTCCAATGCTGCCTTTTAGAAATAGAGGTGGAGTGAATACCATGGAGCTTTGAGCACTATTGACAAATTGAGGTTAAGATGTAATGTGTTTTACAGTGTCTTTGAATATTAAGACAGCTTGTGCTATCACAAGAAGATAACAGCAATTGTCATGGTGGAGGTGGCACTTCAATTTTATGTATGTGTACATGGAAGTAATCCCATTGTGTTCAGTAGGGGTTACTTTTAGCTAAATGTGTATAAGACAGTAGCTATGGACTCCGCTTAAGCATATTATATGCTACATTCAAAGGAAGATATCCTAAGAAAGAAAATATGTTCCACGTTCTTTATGGATGACGTTTGAGTCTTGGAATGCACTCCTAAGGTTTTGCTTTAGCCAAAAAGCAAACAAACAAAAATCCACCTCACCCTTTGACCCGTTTAACTTTTAACATTGCTACCCCTAATTAATCTGCTAGGGCCCAGACTTAAATGGCTGTCCTCAGCTGCTGAAAATTGATTTATCCCTTGATGGTGGTTTGAGTTGCAGACCAAATAAGATTATTCTCCCCCTTCAGTTCTAGTCTGGCTTTGCTCTGTTTTGATTATCTGTCTCAGTAGTTGCAGAGTTTAAATATTTTTTATCAAACAGGACTGTGCATACTGACCTAGACATATCAATATTTCTAACACATAAAAGCAATTAAACCATTTGAGCATCTTGTATCTTCATGTTATGGTTGATACAGTGATAGTCAGCAATTGTTTAAAAGGAAGCAGAAAATTTAAATCATCATCTTTAAGAAAAGAGACTTAGCTTTTTGTAGAGTGGGATGCTCCAAATGCTTGAATGGTCAGACATCTGTTTTTATTTTAGGTTTTAATTGATAAAAGATATGACATAGATTGTTTTTTGGTGATACGTATTGCTCTTTGGTGATCCTGCCAGTTTGTAACAGCGGCATCTTTTAAAAGGAAGTTTCAAAGCCTTTAAATTATTCTGGAACTGTTTCCTAAGGAGTCTGTAACAAATCTTAAAATATTCACAAAGCTAAACTGCCGTTTCTACAGAAGTGATTTCTAGATCGCTAACTTCTTAAGAATGTTTACATTTTGTACTTAGAAGTGTTTACGACAGATATCCAAACATTAAATCAGTGACTAGATCCAAAGAAATTCTCTAGTGGTTACACAAATGACTTTAATAAGCCATTGTGTTAGCTAGCCAGTCCTCTCTTTTAATTGTTACCATGAAACTTTTCTGGTCAGTATATCAAATTTCATTGTGTATTTTTACTACCCTAGCACATGGGGATTCAGGTTTGTTAGTTTTACTTCCCCTTTCACATCCACCCGTGGTATTAAACTTCAGTATTTTAATTTTAAAGCAAAACAAACAGAAGTGTGAATGTAGACATTTTTGTGTTAATGACATAATGAAAAATCTCACCTTCATTTGTGTGCTAATGAAAAATACTGTGTTTTTGTTTTCAAACCGTGGTGGATGAGCTAACATTCTTTTTTTGTGATGGAATGCAGACAGTGATATTGGGTCACTGTATTCTAGCAACGGCTGCCATTCAGCTTGTTCTTCGGCGGGGGGGGGGTGTCCATATTTCAAATAATCTTTTAAGGAGGAATATTTTGTTCTGTTGCTGTTGTGTTGTTTTACTCACTCCCTGAGTTAACCCCCGTACTGCTGACTCTTTATTAAGGCACTGCGAGTGTATCTTTGTTTGTGTCGCTGTTTTCTGTACTTAACACTGTACATCTTCTGTGCTTCTGCTTGCATCCGGCCGAATGTACGCTTGCTATGCTTGCTACAGACAAGGGGGGGGGGAGGAGAACAGCTCCACCTGAAGCACTGGTCAGTGGCTAGCCAGCTGAAGGCATTCTTCTCTGTCAACTCTTGTTTCTTCCTCTTCTGACATGGAGTTCATCTGACAGGCACTGAATGCAAAGCCTTCTTCACAGAGGCCCTGTGGAGCTTTTTCTTGGAAGGAAGGC